ATAGCATCTGATTTCAGATTTGTTAATTCACTAGATTGTATATATAAAGCGTAATCCAAGAGCCCCTCTTCACCCCACTTACTAGAATCTGAAAGTGAACTCATTAAATTTACTTATAGGATTTAGAGATTCAGTTAGTGAATTGATGACTATCACAACTCACTGCATTTTGAGATCGAAGTAGGAAGCATAGTCCAGAAGAATTGTCCAAAGTCATCCAGCTGGCGCAGATTAGGTGGAATAACGAATCTTGCTATGACCAAGTACTGCGGACATGAAGAAATCTCATTTGGTTCAAGTTGAAACACAAAACCGCTATTGTCGCTATCATCCACCTCAAACGCGTGCATTATTAACGATTGATGTATCAATGAGCCATCGATAGCGACTAGTGGATCAGGCAAGTAGAGCTGTTCCTCATCGTTGATGGAGTTGTTACTTTCACTAAGTCTCTTGAAAAAGTGTTTTCATTTTATTGACCAGTTACCTTCTTGAGCTTAATTCGAAATTTTGATGCTTCATCAGAAAAATTTAGGCCATGCATGGAATATATGGAGAGGGAAAGAAGTTCTGATTTCGGACTTTCACGAGAGTCACCAAAGAAAGCGTAGACGTCACTGGTTGTGTTACTCGTCTATGAGCTCAGTAAATTAACTTAGGACAACTTACTCTGATTATAAAGTCTGACTGACTGCCATTTGAGGATAAATTAAAGATGAATGATTGCAAAAAGCCACAGGAATTTTGTTTATCTTCGATAACACTATTATCTACGCGACAAAAAGACACTGTTCCTGAAGTATTAGAGGTAAATTCCAGAGCGGTACCTCCTGAAATAAGAACTTCATGCAGTGCCGTCGCCATGGCTTCGTTCAAGTATTCGAAAGTTGCAACCATAGACTTTGCCTATAACAAGCGTTGTTAGAGAAATGGGCACTTACAGATTCTCGTTGATCATCTTTAATACTCTTGAATACTAAATTGCCTTCAGTTGCTATTGCTGTCAATAAAACAAATAAAGGAAATTATGTCTGAAACGAATTCACTTCAAATCTCTTTCCTGTGCCTCATTCATTGCTCCGAATCCTTCACTAAATTATGCACTGAATTCATTACCTAATTGGTATTTTAATACTTAGAGGAGGATACTCATATAATTAACAAAACACGATTTTCTGGTGGGATCGTAAAAGCAGATCAATTCAGGTAATGGTGACTGCGTTCAAATATAGTCCTCTATTAAAGATAATAAGTGGCATATGGCCCCCTTATCTATTCGCAGAAAAATTAGTACTTTTTTCATGAATATAGACGGCATATTCAATGCATTTGAAGCATTATTTGATATTCATCGTTTTTCTGATTTATCCTGACACCAACGTTTACTGTTTTCCTTTACTCTAGTTCATGGGTAATCATTCCAATTCCCTCGTCTTGGAACTTTTATTCTTGTGCATCACAAACAGTACTTCTTTTATTCTTTCTCTCTTTAATGATTTAATAAAGAAATCTTTCTGATGAAGAACTAATGAGAATTGGATCCCTTGAAGCGATTGGCAAATGGAACTTACGTTCACTGTCTATATCCGTGTCGTAGTCAAGTGTCTTCAAATCGCGTTTCATTAGGCTTGGAAGAGGATCTTTATACTGCAGACTCATTCCCTATCCAAGAATTATTATAACGATGTTAAAAGGCAGCCATTTTAATACTATTGAGATGGAAACAAGTTGCGTTTTACCTGCAAGAGAAGTAATTGGAATTGCATCAGCCTTTGACTAATTAGAAACATATCTTCACGCGACGATAGTGGTAATATTTGCTTTAAAGTGGGAGGTAACTTCTGCAGCATCGTACCTAGTCGATTCACTGTGTAATAAGGCATATCCTTAGAGGTATTTGCAAGTCCTTCCAAGGCTGAGGTTAGGGGTAAGAGTGATTCATTCTGTGCAAGCAAGATGACTTCTATGGCCTCAACTAGCTTGCCTGTTACCTTAGAAGTGAAAGATTATGATGCATCACCATACTGATTTAACGAATGGAAGTTTGAAAGTACCAGAAATCGAA